TTTAGCATGAAACCCATCCATCGTTTCCTCAATATTCGCATTATTTTTGCTGCACGCACCTTCGCCTTCGTGCTGACTCGGCGAGTTTAAACCAGTATAAACACTCTATAAGCGCTGTGCAGATCAAACGAGTAGTGCGGTTTCGTTATGCTTTCAGTTTCGTTTGCCGTTTGATGTTTCACATATGCAACAGAAATGGCAGCGCTTATGAGTTAAACAATGTAACTCACACAAAATGTAGTCGCACAGGCAGAAAAATTTTTCGCAAAATGCGCCCATTTGGTCGCACTCTGGAGCCCTGTGCTGGACAGTATTTTTTTATCCTCAGTTGTTTAAATCGCGGTAATCGAATACGGTTATAGTGATAATTAAATTATGAAACGGTAATACTAACCGTGGGGTATTTTATCATGATTTATCGTCAAACCGGTAATCGTTACATCCCTAATATACATATATATATATATATAATTTTTTTTTTTCCTTCATCAGACCAGGTATTTTAGAGAAGAAAGAACAGAACTCAGTCAATCACCTTCTCATGTGCTGCTCTTTGTTCAGGGTTGTGCGGATGCAGAACCTGCAGGCGGCATATTTCACACAGATCGCCATGGAGATATGGGCAGCTGTCGCCGTAGTGACAGTGTCCAGTCGCTAGGTAAGGGCAGAGCTGCTGGTGGTCTGGATGTGGGCCGGCGCCGGCCGAGCTCTGCAGCCCGCAGCGGGTGGCCTCCAGATAGGAGTGAGGCTTGCTGTCGCTGCTGTAATCCCAGCAGTCCTTCGCTCTGCTGTCAGAGCCCAGCGCTGAAACACAACAACACAACATCAGCTCACAGTCATCTCAGCGCTGTGGCTGTCATATACAGTCATGCAGTGTATCTGACACCTTTGTCTCTGAGCACCAGAGGCTTGCTGGCGTGTTTGCTGGTGCTGGGCGGGGGTCCGGGGCCCGGCGCTGACGCTCCTGCACTGCTGCCTCTGTTCTGCTGCTCCGCCGATGATCCTCCACCACGACCAGGAGCTCTGACGTGATCATACCTATCAGAAAATACAGCACACTGCACTAAACCACTGACACATCAGCACACTGCACTAAACCACTGACACATCAGCACACTGCACTAAACCACTGACACATCAGCACACTGCACTAAACCACTGACACATCAGCACACTGCACTAAACCACTGACACATCAGCACACTGCACTAAACCACTGACACATCAGCACACTGCACTAAACCACTGACACATCAGCACACTGCACTAAACCACTGACACATCAGCACACTGCACTAAACCACTGACACATCAGCACACTGCACTAAACCACTGACACATCAGCACACTGCACTAAACCACTGACACATCAGCACACTACACTAAACCACTGACACATCAGCACACT